GGGGTTAATGGAGGGATAAGGGATAAATGAGAGATACGAATAAATGAAGATATAAGTGAAAGTGTAGATATATAAGATAAAGCAAAAACTATAAACTATTATAAATAAAATAGAATTATTATTTTATATTATTTATGATATCGTATAAAAAGAATTAATTACATTGTTACTTCTAAAATATATATAATGTAGTTTCTTACACATGCCTATTGTTACTGATGAAACATGCTTGGTATATCCTTAAAATTTTATCTAGTTTTCCTTTTTATCCAATTTATTACACATGCCTCCCGTAAATCAAATAATTATAAATCTTCGTCTTACTATGACTTTCTCAATCTACTAAAATGGTTAAATTGATTATTCATCAAAATTATTCTAGTCAATTTTTCCTTACCATTTGAATTAGTTAATCTCCGACATCATCACCATTTAGAGCATCATAGACATGAATAATCTCAAGATATCTTACGAATGATCTTCATCAAAAGTCATTTTCTTAGAGTTTCTTTTAATTTTAATTAGTCGAAATGTCTAATAGTTAGGCAAATTCATGATTACTTAATTGTCATGATTAATTATTATAATTAGATGTCTTGCTAATATTTAAATTAACTAAAAATTTAGATTGAGATTTTAAATTATAACTTTTTTCTTTAGTTGACAAAACTGTCAAAACTCTTGTAATTTCAAATCACAACTAGTTGACTTTTTCAACCCTATGAATACTATTATTATTATTATTATTATTATTATTATTTTACTAAAATATATTTTTATATAACCTAACTTTAAAGATATAATATATTACATAAAATTAACAAGTTAAAAAAAAATGATTTTCCTTCCAATCACCAGATTTGCATCACTTTTTAAAAATATAAAGAACAAGGTTACTTGCCTGTGTCCTTTGAAATCCCCACAATGTTCCCACACATGAAAATGACCCCATTAATGAATGTAGGGGGGCGGTGAGGCTAAACCTATCCATACACGTCTCTCTCTCTCTCTCCAGTCTTATAAATGGAAGCGTGATCAACCGTAAAGTGCACCGCACCGCTCTCGCGGCTCATCACACCCCACAAGTTGTGCTTCGCATACGAGCAGCATTAGCAGAACAAATTAAGGTACTTAAATGTTTAGATAAACTAAAACTAATCACATTAATTAGATATTAATGACATGTCTTAGTGTTTTGATTAAAGTTGTATAATAAATATAGTTGTTCCCTTTGTTGCAGGATCCCGGTGAAGCAGCAGAAAGGCAAAGAAGCATGGGCTTCTCTGTATCAAACGATGAGCTGCTCGCCACATTTGCTCCCGCGTTGGTGTATTGGATATATTCCGGGATTTACATGATGTTGGGAGATTTAAATAATTACAGACTCCACAGTAAAGCCGAAGAAGAATCCAAAAATGTCGTCTCCAAGACAACTGTTCTCAAAGGAGTCCTCCTCCAACAGTCTCTTCATATCAGTCTCTCCCTCCTCTTCTACATGGTATCTACATTACACCACGATTTTGATTTTGTTTTAAGCAAAAAAACATTTTTTTTTATTGTCTCCATTGTTTCAGATTAAGAGGACAGACGAGGATTCCCCTGCTCCCCAACAATCTTCCATGGTGATATCCATGCTACAAATTTTCGTTGCCATGGTTGTGCTGGACACATGCCAGTACTTCACCCACAGGCTGCTGCACATTAACAAATACTTGTACAAACACATCCACTCCCAACACCATTCTCTTATTGTCCCCTATGCCTTCGGGGCCCTGTACAATCATCCTCTCGAAGGCCTGTTTTCAGACGCCGTCGCGGGAGCCATTGCGGTCGCCGTCTCCGGCATGAGTCCTCGCACCACCGCCGTCTTCTTCTCCTTCACGACCATGAAAACAGTTGATGATCACTGTGGCTTATGTCTTCCCGGGAACTTATTTCATCTTTGCTTCACAAACAATAGTGCGTTTCATGATGTGCATCATCAGCTCTATGGCTTGAAGGCCAATTTCTCTAATCCTTATTTTGTTACTTGGGATAAGTTGCTTGGGACTTATATGCCTTACAGGCTTGAGAGGAGGGAGAGGGGAGGATATGAGGCAGCACCCATAGCTTATTCAAAGATCAATTGATGATGAAGTATTGTTTATTTCAGTTTTAATTATAAAAATTGACTCAATCCCACTGGCCTAAATGAGACTATAACAGTTGAAATATACATATATCGGTTATATTGTATAAGACCAAATAAGTGGGGGTTGGTTTGATGCTTCTGTCATGGAAAAGTATAATCAATTCATAAATAATTCTTATGAAGTAGGCATGTTTATAATTTTATAATGTTGATGTGTGTAACATGCCATAAGAAAGTCTTATATTGATCTAGTATATATTGCTATGAAAAGCATTAAAATCTAATGGTTGTAAATTAGGAAGTGCAATAAATTGAGGAAATTTGATTTGGGAAGATTTAATTGTATGATATTTTTGTGTTGCGAAATTTAATTTGAGAAGATCTAAATCTATGAGATTATTGAAATATTCTTGATTTGTATAGTTTAATCATTTCTTATTTATATGAGAGATTATGGAGGATTTGTTAGACTGAGCTATAACCCTATTTTTTTCTGGCCGTCTTTATTTTCCTCTCAAATGTGTTAGTGCAATCCCCTTCTCGTTGATGTAGGTGGATCTGCACTGAACCATGTAAATCGCACTGCGTTTGTTTGATTTTTTGTTGTGTGATTTTCTTTTCTGCATTGTTTGCACAACATATAGTTCTTCACACATAAGCATGCTTAATATGGCATATGTCTTTGTAGAATAAACCCCACGTAATGGAAAAATATTAAAAGAACCAAGTCAAATAGTATTATGTCGCATCCCACTAAGCATCTTTTGGTCATATTCCTCCCATATCTCAGATATGTATCTAATGCATGTAAGAACTCCATGAATAATAATAAACTCTTTGTTATATCATCTCATTTCAGAGGGTCTTATTCATAAATACTAATTATAGATGGACTAGATTGCTGATTCATTTTTAGCTAAAAATACTTATTATTCAAATGCAATAATTAAGTATATCACATTCTCATAATTAATTACTCTTATCAACTCTTCCCTTGTATATCATGTCTATATGGTAGTAGGAAATTGAATTTTTACAGGTTTTTTTTTAATGTTTCAGTTTTATAAATATAAGAGAGACTTACATACATACATACATACATACATACACACACACACACACACACACACACACATATGTGTAAATTTTCATATTGACATTTTTAGCATTTGGTTTCATAAACATATACATGAAAAGTTATATTTTACTTTTTAAATAATAGTGATATTTTTGAAGTGATATTAAAAATTTTAATCGTATAAATGCAAATATAAAAATTTAGATGGTGCATCTGCAAGAACATAAAAATTGTGTTGTATGTGTGCATGTAAATGTGTTTTCATCTCAATAGAGAATTACAATAGCTCAAACAAATGAAGCTATTTCGACACTGCAATAAGTTATGAGATTAAAATGGCTCCATGTAAATAGTTTGGGGGACTAAATTAGCACTTTACTCCATCAAAAGTATTATATTACTTACCTTTTGAAAGTGAAGCGCAACATTTTATGCATAAATTACTTATGTCAAGGAGATTCGCTTAATCATGACCGTTCAATTGATCGAAATTAATGTTGCCACATTGGGGTGCTTTATGTGGTATGATCATGATAATTGAATGACTCACAATTACATTTAACCTACCATTGGAACTATATATATGTGTAAGCATACAATTTGTCTAGTTGTAAAGATTTGTTTTGAGTATGATTTTCCCACTCTGTTCAATCACTTGCGAAGCCAAATTGTATGTTTTCTGATCGATCATTTTCGACACGTCTTAGAACACTCGAGAAGATGAACACGAAAAAATTAACGTTTCGGAATAGAGATCCTCGTTGCCGTTCTATAACAGAACTTTTGAAATGACACTTGTACTCAAATCTAAAATTTCATAAATCCAAGAAGCTTATGTTTCAATTTGTAATGATGGTTTACATATATAACATTCAAATCCTATGTATTTACATATCTAACACCTAAATTTCAATTTAAACATATATGTTATCATATCCTTGCATGGGAAGTGTATTTGATTTTTTTTTTTTAAATTAAAATAGTGGAATTTTTTATGTGATGTGAAAGATTTGGGTGTATAAAACAAAAAATAGAGTTTAGGTGTTAGATATGTAAATATATATGCATGTAAATGTCTCTATTCAATTTTAGGAAGATTTACAAACATACCAATATATTCTTAATGTATTTACATATATAACACCTAAACTTCAAACAAATTCCACAAACATGCGACATTCCTTGTGTAAAAATTAGACATTGATATTTTTGGATGTGATAGGAAAGAAATGGTTGGTGTAAATGTAAAAATTAAAATTTAGATGTTAGATATCAAAATACATAAGAATTGGGTCGTACATATGTAAACGCCCCTAAACTTTATCGTGAAATGTTAGGTTAAAGAAGTATTATTGTTCCGTAGTAGAATAGCATGGCTCTTTATTATTGATGTTTGCTAGAAAATTCGCTGTTATCATCTTAGTGTAGTACGAAGATTCAACACACACTAAAAAACTATAAAGCAACTAATAATGACACAAGAAGTTTTTTATGTGAAAAACTCAGAAAAGAAAAAACTATGAGGTCTAAGGCAACTGAAGAGTTTCACTACAAAAAGATAATCACAGTTGTAACCACTTGTCCCACAACGTGCGAAAGGATTACTAGGTTTCCTAAGTTACAACGCCAACATGTTGATGAATTTGCTGCAAGGAATGGACGAAGATCGATAGTTATTGGCGACGCTCAGTCAGTGGTGGTCGAAGAGGGTTGGCGACGTCAACGGTGGTCGGTAGTGTTCGACAGAGATTGGCGGTGATCGACGGAGATCTGTGGTGGTTGACGGCGATCGACACAAGTCGACGATGGTCTGTGGTGGTTGACACAGGTCAGTGGTGGTCGATGCTGGTCGGCAGTGGTTGACGGTGCTAGTCTTTAGCTTATTTTAAAAAATTCAAGTTCTTCTTCCAGCCTCAAACTTCTCTTCTTCCCCTCATGAGAGGGTTGAGGCTCTATTTATAGAGTTTCAATTGCAATTAATGTAAAAATATAAATTATTTTAATCGGACGATCCGAAGAGCTTCTTTTGATCAGACGACGTTTGATGGACATCTAAGCGTCTTAATGGTGTGGGGATTGAACAATCTTAGGCTCATTTGATTCATCTCGTCGAAACACTCGATTCTACTATGAAGTCACTGAATTTAGAATTCGTTTGACCATTCAATATATCCAAAAAAAACTTTCAAAAGCGATTTAACATCTTGATAGAGGATTGATTTGACAGGATTGGACCAATTTTAGTATCATTCAGTCTGTCTGATAGAGTTTGCTAGTTTGATTATAAGTTTGTTGAAATTGGAACTCTGAATGATTTTTAATCAAAGTTTGAATGTTTCATGCTCAAAAGAAAATCTCGACATCCGTGCCATCCCTTGAGATTCGTGTCAGACGCTCGAATTTTGTTGGTGGCATATCAATTATATAGAGCTCCATGTGGGCTTCTAGGTAGAAAACATGTGAATATTTTCAAATAACCATTTCAGCTTGACTTGATAAACCTCATGGGCAATGGGCCACATGTAGTTTTTGGCCCAAAGAAATAGAGTCTGAAAAGGTTCTTTTAGCAAGTTATGCGGGCAAAAGTACTTTGGTGGGGGGAACAAAATAAAAAAAAAATCCCTCTTATATTATAAAAATTGAAATGCTCACTATGGAGTACCCTTGAGTCTGCGACCATGTGTGGCTATAGTTTGGTTTTAAGTTAAATATATTTTTATCTAATTTAGTAAATCTGATTGTAAGTGCAACCAAAATGAACCCACAAGTAACAACATCAATAAATTCTTAAATCAGTTACACATTCGACTGTACTGAATATGGATTTATCTCTTCAAAGAGACGAAACTCAGGAAGAAAAGATGAAACTCGAAAAATTTTGATTTAAGAGAATGTTGAATTTAATTTTCATTTTTTTAATGTTTTGCTAAGTTTACGTTAACTCCATGATTAAATTTTCTTTTAATTATACTACTAAACACCGCCCAAAACTAAACAAATCTTTAGGTCTCTTTCAAAAATATAAAGTAACAAAAATAATTGAAGGCATTAACAAAGCATAGAACAAAAGGATCAATAATAATAATAATAATAATAATAAACAAAATCTCACCTCATTCAATCATTCAACCCAAAGGCACCTAATCATTCATATATATAATCTTTGGAGAATCAAGAAAGAATATGATTTGCATTCAATTTCTTTTTGGTAACTCATCAACTTCTTTCTATTCCAAAATGCATGCAACATGTGAATTTTCCTCATAAAAATTGGCCTTTTATATTCTAATTTCTATAATTCTTAAAAGAGCATGCAGCTAATGGGCGCACGGGAATCACTAGGCGGAGCGGGTTTAGCGGCCCAATGAGACCCCCCATGTTCATCTTTACCGTTTTTATCTCCGGAAAAATCCCTCCTTTTTAACCCGCTAACGGTGATCTGATCGCACGGCGGATGAATTCCGGAATTGAAAGAAGTTGATGAGTTGCCAAAAAGAATCGGATGCAAATCATATTCTTTTTTTATTCTCAGAAGATTCATGTATGATTGGGTGCCTTTGAGTTGCATCAGGTGAGATTTTTTTTCTAATTTCTATTAAACTGTTTTGATCGATCGTTTTGTTCTGTGTTTTGTTAATGGCTTTGATCAATTTTGTTACTTTTTGTTGCTGTTAGAGGATGGGGATTAAGATTGCCACTTCTTGGGGACAATCTGTTCCTGATAATGGCTTTTGTAATCGATTTGATTCTGATGCATGTTTCTGGTTTTTATTTATGGAAGGTTACTCTTATTAGGTTAAGCATTTTATCTTTTGGGCGAAATCGGCGATGTCGAGAAAAGCTCCATCTTTGGTAAAGCTTTGCGCTGGAACGGTGATTGCTAATCTTGAGTACGTCGGAGATGTGAGTGGAATAGATTTACATCTTTTGAAGGATATTTTATGTCACTGCACGGTTGATCAGTTGACGCGCATTGAAAATTCAACCGAAGTAAGCGTTTCCCCTATATGAATCTCAAGCTTTTATGAGCTTGATTTGTGGAATTCGTTCAAACAATAATTTCATACGAGTCCTTGCATTCTCTTGATTATACGCAGGACGTAGATCTTAGTCCTGTAACCAATGATTTATGGAAACGTCTCTACGAGAAACATTTTGGGGAGGAGAATGTGAAGCTTGTCATTAGGAGGATGAAGGAAAAGCGCGTGGTTTTCAAGTGGAGGAAGCTTTATGAGGTGTTTTTTTTTTCTTCCTGAAATTCCATAGTTACCATATGCTTCTTTTATGCTTGTAAGAGCTTTCTGATTAAGAGTCACAACATATATATTGCTAATGGTGAATGTGCATTTCTTTGTAGGCAAAGGCAAAGGAGAGGGAAGTATTCAAAACTAAATCATTTGAGAGAATAAAGCGACGATATGAAGAAGAACTTGCTAGTAAGTTCTTTTAATCTTTTCATGGCATGGAAACAGTTGTCATCTGATGCATCGTGAGTCAGCCTTGCAGTTTTTTATAAACTTTTTTCTGAGCTTTAGCTGTGGCTTTTTAGGTTTTAGAAAATCACTTTTATGGATTTATTTGAGGAAATTTACTTAGGTGGTTTGTCCATGCTCTATAGATAGACGAAGATGCAAGGTTATGAAGAAAAAAGGTAGAACGTAGATAACATGATTAAGATTTGTGTATATTAGATTGACCAACTAATGTGGCACTCAATGAGAGTGTGAATAAGGCTTCATAAAGACAGCCCAAATTTGGTGGGCTTTAGCTAATAATGATAATGACTATTATGGATTTAGTAAGGTTTAAGGATCATTGTCTACATGAAAAGTTATGTAGACTTGCTCAGTCCGTATTAGCATCTATTGGAAAAACGTAGGATTTTCTCATCTGTGTTACCTTCAGATCAAACAACAACAACAACGAACCCTAAACCCTTCAGATCAAACTAATAAGAATTAATTTTGTTCCTAGATCCAAAATATCACCATGTAATTCAATGAGATACTCGAGTGGTAGTCTATTTTGGATTTGCATTTAGCAATGGCTGAGGAGTGATTTTTTAAAGTCAATCTTTGGATATGCCGTGTAGTGGAAAGCAAAAGCTTATTTAAATCAGTGCCGATTTAACTCAGTTTAATTTTTGTTGTCTTCGCTATTTTGATTGAGAGTAAATCGATACTCTTCAAACTTTAGCCTAGCCCTTTTCATTGGTTTAGGTTTTTAATATTGTTAATCATGATTGATTTGAACTTGGTTGAATTTCATAAATATGGACTTGTCTAGTTTGTATTCAAATAGCGGCATTGGTTTGTTTTCTATGTCGTTTCTTGGAAGGCCATTGACTTAAATCACATAATCAACTTTTTTATTATTCATAAGGTTTTTGTTACTACATCACTCCTATCTGTCATGATAGGCACCTCGTGTATAGGTTCATCATCATCCACATTCCTCATCATCAACTTTTAGGCTTATGTCAACTTGAAATCCTCCTCTATTCATTCTCGTTGAGTGTTATATGAGTTGCAATTTCATTTCTCATAAATCTTCTTACATGATTTCAGCCATATTTATACCTTTTTTTTTTCCTTTTATGATATTATCGCATTAATTTTATTTTATTCATTTAATTAATGCTTCTTTTACCTTAGGTTGTATGCATCAAACTTTCTAATGGGTTGTTTATTTTGTTGAAATTTGTTATGTAATATCATGTTATTAGCATTTGTCGGGATTTTATTTTGATAAAATGGATTATAAGAATGATCATTTCTAGTTTATATCATAAAATTGAATTAAGCACAATACATATAATAGATAGCATTGTTATCTGAATAACATGATTATCTAGATAACACTGTTGTACAAATAGCCCCCAAGTCTATTTTTATTATCTTTTGTTAATTGGAAACTGCTCCCATGATACATATGATATGGTCATTTCTCCATATGTTTGATGTTGGTTCGTAAACAACATAGGGTTATTATCATTTCAATATCTATCGTCATTGCTTAGTTTAGTTGTTACTTAAATACTATGTCAAATACCTGGACGAATTTGTAATTATTTTATGTATTTTGGAGTTGTCAGTCATCAGGCATGCTCGATACTTTGTAAATATTTACTCTTATGATGCATTTTCATTTTATGCGTTAAGTCTAGATACTATCATAAACATTTGTACTTCTAGTTTTATGGGTAAAGTTCTAGGTTATGGTTTCCATCATTTTTTCGGGGTGCGATCATGTACATGGAAATGAGGATAGAACTTAGTCATCACCGATCTTTGGAGAAATAAGAAGCTTATTTGAATTATTCTTTGGCATTCTTTCTACTACTTAAGATTTCATGATCTATAGCCATCGCCATTATATTCACCTTGTTCACATCAATGATCAGGGAAAACAAAGTCTTTTGGTTTACTTCATCAGTGTTTGTACTTTCTTAAGATTTATTCTTAACGTCATTGTTTGGCATCAAAATTCTGAAGTGTACTCTTATATAGATTGTCCTTGGTGTGCCATTGATTGTGCAACTTCTTCCACCAATCCTCCATTTATCACGTTGGCTAGAACTCTCAGCTTATCAACTCTCCAAATATTTCCCAAGTCTTTGTTTGACGTGCATTCATCTTTAGATGGACATTCTACCATGATAGCACATAATTGCTTAATTTCAGTTAAGTGATGGAAAACTTATCGTGGGTGTTATATAAAAAGACATTCTCAAATTGGTCCATTTATGCATCTAGTTTCTTGGCATCCTTTTTTCCCATCATATTCAAGAATCTCCATTTTCGCTTCTAGTTTTTTATGTTCGCTTCCTTCATGAGTGGTAATCGTACCATCTTTTTCATCTTCCCTATCTTCTATTATAGAAAAAAGAGTGCATCTCTGTCTACTAATTACAGTGGTGATTTTTGGAATCCTTAACCAATCTATAGTGGCCATATGTTCCTTCATTGTTTTTAAATTTTAACTAATTACTTCTTGCTATTTTCTCTTTCTTTAAACAACTCCAAATTAGGAAGCAACTCTTTTTGGTCTTTATATCATTGCTTTGTTTATATCATGTACCAAAAAATGAGTTTTTTTTTTTTTTTTTACAGCTCTACAGCTTAATTCATAGTCATAGTTAACGTCTCAATGTTATTGTATAACCCCACAATGAGGGCTAGAATTAGAAAGGTTTTATGGTCTTTTTCTGAAATTATCTATTGATCTATTAATTAAAAAGGGCACTTCAATTGTTGTTTCTCCCCATAAATATTATTTCCCTCTTAGATTCATTTTCTTTTTATTGTAGACAGCAAGTTTCCTCTGTTTTGGTATTGTTCTCCTCCAAGGCAGAAATAAGTTGTTTTCTCCTTGTACTTGCTATTATAGCAGCAACTTTGCGTCCTGAATCTAATCTTCCCTTCACAAAACGGTAACATATTTGAGGATTTCTCTCTTTTTGCTATTCACAACTTCTCGATTCTCTTTTCTTTATTTTATTTATTTGTGGTTTGTTTATTGTTGGTTTAAGCAACATAGAACCTTTTGGAATCAAACAATAGCAGCACTGAAAGCATGCCGATAACAATTAAAACGAGCAGCGGCAATACTCTTGGAATTAGCGTATTTGTTGTAGTATGGATAATGTTGCTGCGACTTTGCTATAATATTGGGATGGAAATATGCTTGGCTTTTGGCAAGGGCTATTGCTGCAGTTTTTAATTGGAGGGAAAGTTGCCAGAGACTTGGTTTTCACTTGCTAAAGAATTCAGGGAGGAGAAGAGAAGAGAAGGAATGTGAAAAATTATTTAGGAGAGATTTATGATCCTGAAATTTAGTAGTGGTACCACTTGTGGCAGTCCATAGTGGCAGATCAGTTGTCGGGATGTCCCTGAAACTCTGGAGGTCATCTTTCTTGATTCCTTCAAATACAAATAATTAGTGATGACATGAATTGAATTTTCTAAAAGATGTAATTGAAAAAATAAAATTTGAAATAGCGTATAATTTTCAAAACAACATTTTAAAGGGTAAAATACATGTGGCTCTGAATAAAATAATTATTGATCCGAATGCTTAATACCGAACATTAATGCTATAAATGTTTTTTCAAAGGAAATTAATTACACATTGTGTAGAATAATTTACAAAAACAAATCCAATCATCCTCTTGCTAATGCATTAGTAATATGTTCCCTTAGCTCAGTCATTTCGTTTGTACCTTGCCCCACTTTAGAACAAATAGTGGATGCATCATTCTTCGCTCGTAGCAGTGAATGCCCAAGGTGATACTCATATGTTTTCAGGGGTGCATGCTTCTGATCCTCGTCGGCTTTACGAAAGTCAGTGTCGTTGCGAGAACGATGCCCCCAAATATAATTATGCAGAGTTATCGTGGTACCACTAGTAAAATTTAGTGGTTGGGAATGAAAGTATACATATTTGCTACTAGCTGTGAGAAAAAAAAAACAATGCTCACATCTCTGTCTTATTGCACAAGTGTGTGTGGGGAGAGTAATATACTTTAATTTTCATCAGATTGTCACAGGTAGTACCACTAGAAAATTTCAGTAGCATGGAATGATATTATGCATAATTGCTACTAGCTGTGAGACCACTAGTAAATTTCAATGACTGGAAATAAAAATATACATATTAACAACTAGTTGTGATGTAAAGAAAAAATATTGCTCTCATAACTGTCTATTTCTTTCTTCTTCTAGGACTCATTTTACAGTGCGTATGTGTGTGTGAAATATATTTCTCTTCTCATCAGAATGTCACAGGTGGTACCACTAGTAAATTTCAGTGACATGAAATAGTAATATGCATATTTGCTACTAGCTGTTAGACCAAAAAGAAGAAAAACATGACACACATCACTGTCTCATTATTTCTACTTCTCAGCTTCATTTCACAGTATGTGTCAGAGAAATATAATTATCTTCTCAACAGAATGTCACAGATGGTACTACTAGTAAAATTTTAGTGGATTCGAATTGCATTATACATCTTTGCTACTAGCTGCGAGGCCACTAATAAATTTCAATGGTTGGGAATGAAAGTATACATATTTGCAACTAGATGTGATGCCAAAAAAAGAGAATCATTGCTTACATAATTGTCTCATTCTTTCTTTTTCTATGACTCATTTCACAGTGTGTGTGTGTGGGAGAAATATACTTCTATTCTCATCAGAACACCACAGGTGGTGTCATTAGTAAATTTCAGTGTCATGGAATGGTATTATGCATGTTTGCTACTAGCTGTGAAAAAAAAAAAAAAAAAGACTTGCATCACTATCTCATTCTTTCTACTTCTCTGCATCATTTCACAGTGTGTGTGTAAAATATACTTCTCTTATCATCAAAATGCCCCAGATGATACCACCTTTAAATTTCATTGGCTTTGAATGAAATTAGACATATTTGCAACTACCTGTGAGGTAAAAAAAAACATGGCTCACATTGTTGTCTTATTCTTTCTATTCTGCCTCATTTCACAGTGTGTGTGTGGGAGTAATATATTTATATTTTCATCAGATTATCACAGGTAGTATTACTAGTAAATTTCAGTGGCATAGAATAGTATTATGCATATTTGCTACTAGCTGTGAATCCAAACAAAAAAAAAACAAAAAAATGTCTCACATCACTATCGCATTCTCTCTACTTTTCTACCTCATTTCACAGTATGTGTGTATGTGAGAGAAATATAATTCTCTTCTTATCAGAATGTCACGGGTGATACCATTAGTAAATTTCAGTGGCTTTGATTCAAATTAGACATATTTGCTACTAGCTATGAGACCCAAAAATAAGAAAAACATGGCTCACATCAATGTCTCATTCTTTCTACTTCTCTACTTTCTTTTGCAGTGCATGGAATAACATTATGCATATTTGCTACTAGCTGTGAGGTCAAGCAAAAAAAAAACAAAAAAGATGTCTCACATCATTATCTCATTTTCTCTACTTTTTTGCCGCATTTTACATTATGTATGTATGTGAGAGGAATATAATTTTCTTCTCATCAGATGTCACGGGTGGTACCACTAGTAAATTTTCAGTGGTTTTGAATCAAATTAGACATATTTGCTGCTAGCTGTGAGACCAAAAAATAAGAAAAAACACGATTCACATCAATTTTTCATTCTTTCTACTTCTCTGTCTCATTTTGCAGTGTGTGAAAATATACTACTCTCATCACCAGAATGCACTAAATGATATCACTAGTAAATTTCAGAAACATATAATGAAATTATACATATTTGTTACTAGCAATGAGACAAAAAAAAAAAAAGAGAACCAAGGAAAGGTTCACTACACCAAAACCATCACCATATTGAAGCACCAAACAAAAAAAAGACAGTCGAATCTACACAGTGCAGAGCAACGAGCAACGAAAATGTTTCAAAAAAATATAGGGAAGAGGGGATACCGCAATAATGTGGACTTCGGCACGTCGGTTAGGGTCGAGGAAGAAGAAGAAGCTCCGCGGGAAATAAAAAGAGCAAAAAATAAGAATGCGGTGTCGAAAGAGGGGTATGTGCGTAAAAATCTTGAAAATAAACGCGGGTCGCGACTCGTTTTTCGCTACGTGACGGCGGCACCTTGATTGTAAAGCTACCCCAAACGACGAAATGTCATGGCCCGTTGCCGCGACGCGCTAAAAACAGCCGCCCTAAACGGGGCCTAAATTATAGTAATTCTATAGAGTTGTAAAAGTTTTTACAGTTGAGTGTTTTTTGTGAATGTTCCTATAAATCAAAATTATGATATACTAAGGGCCCATTTGAGATCAATATATTTTTAATCTTTTTTTTTTTGTTTTTAGTGTATTTTTAATCAAAATTACTGCAAATTTAGTGCATTTTTCATATGTATATATATATATATATATATATCTCAACTTATTTTTAAAAGCACCCAAAAATAACTTTTGAAAATTATTCTTTTGAGTGTTTTTAAAAATAAGTTTATTTGTCATGTTTAAAATGTTTTAATTTTAAATCAAAACATATACAAAATAAAATTAAATTACAAAATAGAAAATAAAACATAAAAGCGATCTCAAATGAACCTTAAGTTCTTAAAAAGCAAAATAGAAGAAAAGACTTGATATAAAAATGTCATGTTCTTAATGGATATAAAAATATCATGTTCTGAATGGATTTATGGCCATATTAATAGTAGTCATTATAGATTAGCATGATAAAAACATAACTTCTTAGGGTTCGTTAGGGGTAACGGCGCGGTGGCGGTGCAGCATTGCACCGCAGTGTTACCCATTTGGATAAAATGCGTTTTGATTACTTTTTCAAAAAGCTGTAGTTGAAATCAGTGTTTTCCCACCGGTCCTGGTTTTGTGCGGGGGCAGTTTTCTAGCTGCAGTGTAACTTTTTCTATATAAAAAAATGTAATAGCCACCGTAATTTTTTGCAATATCAGATTATTCTTCAACAGTTTCACAATTGATTCCTAATAAACTGCAATTAACTCAGACATACTCTCAGTTAAGCTGTTGCTAGCCTCACATTGAAGAACTCTACATAGCACTAGACATTGGCATTTACAAATCCAGCACCCTCTTTCATCCAATTTTCAAATTCTCACTCAAACATCAAAATTCATGATAAAATCCCATCCATATTTTTCATTTTTATCAAATTCTCAATGGATTGATTGATTCTGACACTCATAAATGCATGAGTTTATCAGTTCAAAAAATCAACTCAGTGCTAGTTCTGTAAATAGCAATGTTCTGAGTGCCGTGTATATAATTATGCCCGTCGCTTGCTAATTGCTATTAAAATCTGCTTGTGTGACTTCTCCTATGTAGTAATAATCACAATCCTAATCTCCTATTTATAATGTCCTTGCAGTATTAAAAACCTAATCATTTCAGAACACTTTTCTTCCATGCAGAGAAACAGAGCAAACAAATTCGAATCTGCTCAAAAATTCCACCTTCAGGCAATAAAAGAAGCTTTTCTTCAGGTATTTCTTTTTTAATTGATCTGTAATTTTAGTCTTTGAAATTCTGAAACAATGTCTGAATAATAACTACATATACCAATACTAAATAAGCTTTTTTGCAGTTAGCAGCTCATGCAGCAAAGTCTCTCATATAAAAGGTAACCTTATGAAGAAGGCGAGATTGGAGTATCTCAAAAGGTAATATTTCAGAATGTTGGCAGAGAAATTCAGCTCTAATTTGGAATTCCTTTTTCTATGCGTTTACTAATCAAATTCTCTTTTCTTTCTTTTATTGATTTTGTGTTTTGTGTTTTCTGCAGCAAAGAAGCCTGTATACATGCTACCATGAGAAAAAATATGGAGCAAAGAAAGAGCCTTCCAGTTCAGAGGTACTTGTTCCCTTTATTAATCTGTAGTTAATAATATTAAGTGCAGTTTTATTCTGGAAATAAATTTAAGATGAATTTACATGCATACCACACAGTTCTTATGTATTTATATATCTAACCCCTAAAGTCTAATATTTACACTTAGAAAAACTCGGTGCCACAAACCTATGCATGAGAAGGTGTATTTTACTCTTAAAAAAAATTAGTGATTGTGATATTTTTAATGCGATGTTAAAAATTTGAAGGGTTGCATTAATTTTTAAATAGAGTGCTTGTTTAGTGTATTTTTTGTGCTCTATTTTTAAAAATAAATCACCTTATTTTTAGAAACAATCGAAACAGTTTGTATGTTTCGAGTGTTTTTAAAAAAAGTCGTTGCAACAAAATATGTTTTATTTCAAACCAAATCATAATAAAATAAAATTAAAAAATAGAAGTGATTTCAAATTGTCCATTAGAGCTTTTTTGGGTTTAATTTTTTTAAATTTTGTTTTTTTTTTAAAAACATGTTTATATGGTGTATTTTTTACGTGTTTTTATTTTTTTTGCTTCTAAAAACAAATTAAAATGTTTTTCAAAATACTTAAAATAAATTTTAGATATTTTGAGTGTTTTTAAAAATAATCTTTAATCAAATAAATTATATATATATAAAAAAAAACTTATTATCAAATCTATGAAAAAATGGAAAAATATTCAGACATTTCTATATGGAACAATCATCATAGGAGCTGAAACAGAAGTAAGTTCTAAACAGATACAGCAATAACTAGAAAACAGCAAATTATGAAGACAAGTATGGGTTCTGAACTGCTCATTACAAGATTAAAGGGTGTGTTTGGGACGACTGCAATTTCTTATAGAAGAGGTTGTAAAACTTTGGGAAGGGAAGCAAATTCTTAAAAAGTTTTCTGACTGCCACCAACCACACTTTGCACGGAAGAAATTTAAAAAATAGCAAGAAAGCAGTTCCTCATGATGGCCTGAAATACAAAACAGACGAAAAATTGTCTCAAACAGAACGACCATGACCTACTCTTAAGCCTTGATTTGATTTCCTTTGCCTTTATCATTCTACATGCTAAAGGTAATTTTTTTCTATGCCATTTGCAGTTTGCCTCATTCATCAAAGCCAATCAGTTGTGCTGGCAAGACTTCAGCATCAGCTCCAGCGCTGTCAAAATCATTTAGCAGTAGAAGATGATATGTAAGCTTGGAGCTGAAATCTGGTGCAGCTCAAGCATCAGCTTCATCCCTTCTGGTTGCTGCTAAGTTTACTCTATATTTTCTGTATTTCAAAATTTTCAAAATTTGCTGTAATGGAAGATTTGCATACATACTACTCAATTCTTATGTATTTACATATCTGACACCTAAACTTCAATTTTCATTAGGTAAAATTGCCAGATTAATGAAACTTATTGTAATGCCTCAGAATTTGGCCTTTTCGTGGCAAACTGATGCATTTGGGTTCGGGTTTATTGTGAATTTTGATATTCGAGTGAGAATTTGACGAATAGATGAAAGAGGGTACTAATTTTGTAAATAGTAATGTTTTGAGCGGTATCTATGTAATTTTATCATGAATGTTTTTTATAAAATTACAATGTGAAGTGAGGTTCATCTTCTTTGATGAGAGGTGCAAATAGGACTACAAGTGAGCCAATCATATAATGGTAAAAGTAATTTTCTTAAATATAATTTGTTATGTTATTTATCTGATGGGGGTTTTACTTTAATAATAATGTTTAGTTAATGCTAATCACTTTGTCTCTTTTCCAACTTACCTCTCAATTCCTATGTATTTACATATGTAAACTTCAATTTTTAAATATACTTGCCACCATACCTATTCATGAAAAAATGTGCTTCACTTTTGAATGGTAAAATCATAGGAAGTTTTAAAGTGATGAAAGGCTCGAGTAGTCGGGTGGTATAAATGTAAAAAAATAAATATTAAGTGTTATATATGTAAATACATTAAGAATTGGATGACAAGTACTTAAATGCCCTTTTTTTTCTAGGTATCATTTTGCATTGTTGTTCGCTTTCAATATCCAAGATCGGATTGCTTGATGTTCCAAGTGGCGCCTATGGTCAATGCCTTAATGAGCTCAATCTATAGAGAAAATATTGCGTACGAAGCCCGGAAACACTTTTGTGTCTGGATTCAAATAATATGACACCATTTGTAAATTGGTGAGACCAAATTTCATGAATTAGAAAAAAAATATGATTTTTTTTTTTTTTTTTGCGCTCGGACTGAAGATTACCTGTTGCATAAAAAAATGAATTGTATTATGATGATATTTTGGTGATAGTATGGTGATATTCTGGTGATTTTCTGGTAGTAAACTAATTATATTCTTGTGATATACTAGCGATATGCTGGTAGAATATCACTAAGATACTATCAGAACACTATCAAAATATCATTATAATACCAAAAAAAATATCATCATTATATCACCATAATACCACCAAAATAATATCATAATATAACAAAAAATATCACAAGATTATCACATGAATACAACCAAAATATCACCAAAATAATACTACAATATAACCATAATATCATAAATATATTGTCATAATACCACTAGAATAACACTAATAGACAACCAAAATATCACCAGAAAATTATCAAATACCACTAAAATTTCACTCAAATATCACCATAATACAACTCTTTTTTTTTTATGCAACAAAGAGTCTTCACGTCGAGTCTCCAAAAAAAATATATATATATTTTTGGCAATTCATAAAACCTAGTCCCACCACTTTACGAATGCGTACTGTTGAAGTTCAGACACAAAAAGTGCATCTTAACTTCAGAAGTAATATTTTCTACGATCTAAGAGGGCTCCATTTTATCAACATAAAAGCAATTCATGACCTTATAATAGTCGGATAGCACTTTAGTCCATATTAAAATTAAATTTTAAATGTTACACACACACGCGCGCGCGCGCGTAGGAATTGAGTGATATGTAAATTTTGTGTATTTTAATTCTCCTTTTTTTTCCGAACCCCAACTCAAGCCTCGTACTTCATTCCCTCCATTTTCCCTTAAGATCGCAGAGAAAAACTTTCAGATACCGAAAAATGAATTATGGCTATGATTTGAACTTCTGACCTGTTTATGGAAAAAAATTGCCTACCTACGACCTACGCAGCGCTCCCTACTTTCGCCAATGGCAGCTTGAAAAATCAGCAGAGTCGGTCCCACCGCCTTTATTTCAAATGGGGCCCGTCAACCTGGCCCACTCGGTTATAATCGAGTTATAACCGACTTGTACATGCCGTGTAACCGAGCGGGCCATTACCGCGGTACAACAGTTATAAACGAGCTGTAACTGAGATTGAACACAGCGCCGTGTAACATAACAGTATATACGAGTTATAACTGAGCTGTAGTCGAGAGTTCATACAGCGCGTGTAACCTAGCAGTATAAACGACTCATAACTGAGCTGTAACCGACGCAGTAACCTACGCTGCTCGTTGTACCGAGGTCGTGTAACTGTCTGGTAACCTCTGCACCCCGCCCGATGAAATGTAACTTCCGTGTAACGTTTCTGTAACATCCAAAACAAGGTACCACGGGTTTGTAACTTGGTTGTAATCTCCGAGAACCCTTTGTTAAAAAATCAAAGCGCGAGAATGTTATAATCGCGTGATAATCTTCTTTAAAAAATCAAAGCTCGAGAATGTTACTACTTAAGCAGCAAAAAACTAGGGTTTACTGTTTTATTGCATTTTGATGTTGAAAATGGACCGCATAAACTGGCATTTCGTCTCTTGCGGGGAAGGAGAAGATATATTTCCATCCAACATAGAACAAGTCGATGTTAAAGTGGAGGTATATTAGTTCTATGTCTTTAGTTCTGTATTTTTTTTTTAGAGAAATATCTCTGTGTTTTTTTTACCGGGATATCTTTGTTTCTTGGTGTGTTTAGGTTTGTTTATTTGGTGTTTTGTGTTACTTGCTGTGTTTCTTGGTGATTTCCTTGGTGTGTTTTGAGGTAGAGATTTTTTCGATTTTTATTAAAATGTTGTTTGTTTTTAGAGTGATCTTATTTGTTGTATGATTTGTAAGAATATTATGGAAGTGAATGTTTGTAAAGTTGTGATTTTTGTTTTGTTTGTTGTGCTGTGCTAATTAGGGTTTATTACAATGTTCTTATTTGTTGTGTTTGTTTCTTATTTGTAGGGTTGTTTGTTGTAGTAAAATATTTGTAGGGTAGTTTAATAGTAGTTTAATATAGTTTTATATTTTTTGCAGATTCAATACATGATCAGTAAGTAATTTGACATATTCTTCAATTGAAAGGTTTTTATTTATGATGATTTACAAATATGTTACTTTGTTTTTTCACACAGGTTCTAATCAGGATGTAAGCAACAATTATGGGTTGATGATAATTTTGTTGAGGCATTATTTTTGGAGCAATTTTTTTTTAGGAGGATGTATCTAGATATTTGTAGACATTATTGAAATTTTATTGAAGAGGATGTATGTAGGGAATTTATATTTACGGCAACATTATTGATGCATTTATATTGAATATGTCATCATTATATTTAAGATGAAATTCTCTTGAAGAGTTCTTGTTTTTTTTTTGGCTTTCTTTTGGAGATTTTCTGATCTTGTTTTTAACATCTGTCTGTTTCATTACGCTTGGGTTAGAGGAAACTCTCTTATGGACATTATGAGAACTAAATTTTAAAAAGTTTTTGTATGTCTCATGCTGCTCTCAACTCTGTTAATATGGATGTCTGTTTCATTATGTGGCTACAGTTAATTTGTATCGGCTCAAGGACCCGCTCTTAAATTCTCACAGTAATGTTGGCTAGTATCTCACAACATACTTTTTAATTTGTAATAAGGATATACATTTAAGCTTACTAATAATTCAAGGAATATCTCACAGCATCAATTCCTGCCAGTTAAATTCTCACAGTAATGTTGGCTAGTATCTCACAACATACTTTTTAATCTGTAATAAGGATATACATTTAAGCTTACTAATAATTCAAGGAATATCTCACAGCATCAATTCCTGCCAGTCATTTTTTTCCACCCAATTTACCTTCTCTTTTTGAACAAGTGTTTCCATATATTTACAAACATAAACACCGCAATCATAACTATTACTTTGCATCGGTATTCCCTTAGTCATTATAATTGACCACTTTCTCAAATTATCCTCGAAAGCTTCACTGGTATCCTTTAAGAAATGCTCAATATGTATATTTAAAGATGATTCATTAAATAAATATTTAAAGATGATTCATTAACTAAAGATGAGTCATTAACTGTATATTTAAAAATGCTCAATCTGTCAATAATTAATACTTACAATGCTTTGGGTGATGGCCAAATGCATCATGTTGGATAAGGAGTCATAAACTCTCCATTTACTCTCATTTAGTGTCCTAACAATGAGTATCCAATGTTGATTATTTATTACAGGTATCAATATTAACTCTGTATTCGGGATAACATCCTTTGTATGTGTGCAACGAAGGGTTTCACGTTACTTTGTTTATACAACTGCATCAAGGAGAACATAATACCATTCAACGTATGGTCATGTAAGATTGATATTAGCTGGAATAAAACTTGTCTGCACAACTTTATAAGCTTAACCAGTGGTATGACGATACATATATATACGATCTATATAGATGTGGTGCATTACACTGTTTATTCTCCATCAACATGAAAAAACAATCAACATGTTCATTGTCTAACCAACCGTTTCCCAAAAATTCATCGAGATAACATTGCGACACCGAAACATGTCCCATATCAATTAAAATGTCACCCCTGCATTGGAAATATAAAATTACTTTACTTAACGGTTACAAAATTAATGATGAACATTAACAAAAAATTATATGAACTAACAAGTTCGTATATTTTCTACAACATATATCAATTGTTTCCCGCATATAATCAGGAAATTTATCCCTAGCAGGAAAGTCGATTACTTGTGGTGCTGGCTGGACCTGTAAGATAAGCTAATCATAATATTTACTGCACATATTTAAATAATTAAACAAAACATTCCATATCTTGTCTGGGTAGTCCTCACTAACATAATGACTGATTGGCTGGTGCTCCTCCACCTCCTTATGTACAAATTCAACCTCTTCTTGAGACTCAGTTCGCTGGTCTACAACTGCTTCCTCTTCTTGTATATTTTCAACTGATTCCTTTATGGGTTCTTTTTTTCGCTTTCTTTCAAAAACAACATATGGGGAGCTGAGGGACTTTTTTCTTCTATTTAACATACCCTTAATCCTTTTGATCAAGCTTCTTTGTGGGGATTCTTTAACCCATCTTCTCGGCAATTCCACATCTGTTTGTTTAATTGTTTTCTCTATCTCACGACATGACACTTTAGGTCGGTCACCGTACTCTCTAACATTGTCAATCCACTATGAACAAAGTCTTGAAATTCCAAAACTATATTCTCTAACTGATTCAGACGACTGTCAACGGATACTTGAAAATCCAATATTATTTTTTGTTGGTATTTCAATAAACTGTGGATCTCTTTAAATCCAAGTGTTTGTCACATTCTTTGATTCGACTGTTCATATGTATGACTGTCGGATGGTTGAGTACCAATATAATAAGGTACTATAGAGGAGACCTCAACATGCATGGGTGACTGTGGACTGGAAAGTGTTTCCCGTTGTGGGAGAAACTTTGCTGAACTGGAGGGCTCTACAAGGGAATTGGCAAGTAAGTGATATTCACTTTCCTTTAAATCAAGAAAATAATCATACATCTGCCAAAAAAAAAAATAACACACAATCAGGGGCAATCAATGTATGACATGACTACTTTACCAACTACTATTTAAATTTATTTAATAAACCTCGGTAGGACTGAGCATGTTGAACGCTAGTTGAATCTATAAAGCATTCCATCTAAAATTTACTGGTCATCTTAGCATTCGGGGTCTAGCCTCAGGAACTACTGGCAGGACCAAGGAGGTGTGCTCATAAAACCAGAGTTGTATGAAGCGTGTTAAAATAAATATTTGGTATGAAAATCAAAAATAATGAAAAGAGATTTTAATAGTAATGTCAGAACAAACCGTTAAGAGAAAAACAAAACCAGTAATATATCCAAGTGGTTGATCCGTCCTAAGCTTCATAGCACATATGTTCAATTGATCAATCAAAAAGCCACATACTGTCGCAGGCCAATTATACGAGTTGAATGCTTCTACGTCCTCACAAAGAGAAGACAGCTGCTTGAATACTCTAAAATTACTTGAAGGAAATATTAAATTAGTCAATAAAAACTTTATTAATAATTCTATAAAATGATCTGAAGACTGTCCTGGGTCAAAATTGATAAGTTGGGTCTTCATTTGTCTCGCATCAATACTACAGAACGGGGCTTTAATCCAGCATGCGGGTGACCCTCTATTTGGCATGCCTATCAGGAGAGCAACTTGGTCAGCATTAAATTTGAGCTCTTTCCCACCCAACTGAAATGTTGTTCAATCAATATTCCAATAACTATTTATATGCATTGTCAGAATATGATACTGGGGGTACGGAGGGAGTTCAAAAAATTTAGCCAAGCTCATGTTTTCTAACTTATTCCATGTGTGCTCGTCGATGGTTGGCCGGACCTTATTCAGAGCTTCTCGTACTGCAGATGGACGACATCTGCAGTTCATTGATTTCGATTTCATTGATTTCGCGCTCAAAAACCTACATTTAATTTTAATATATATTAAACTATGTAAAAAATAATGAAAAAAAAATCTCATATAAAATCAAACTCTTGTGATGAAAATATTCATTCTACCTAAACCTTAATTTCATAACCACTTTTTCAAAATCTGAAATCTAAAATCTTTTAAAAGTCATGCTTAAAATTCACCATTCAGACTTATTATAGCTCAAGAAATTAAAATTAACTATTAAACATTAACGAAATCAAAATCTCAAATATACCTAGAAACGACCTTGGGTTGCTTAATGGATTCGGTGTTCTCTGTTTTCCCCATTTTGGAGACATCTAAATCCTTCTTCCTGGGTCCACCCTTCGCCATTAGCTTTGGCAGCTCGACCTCAAGCTTCTTGGCATCCTCGACGTCCGACTTCTCCGCCTCGTCAATATGGGCAACATTCTCCTCTTCCAACAACGACGTACCCTTGCCGATGTCCTTCATTTTGAGCAAAACCCTAAACAATACTAATGCCTCAACGTTCGAGTGAATGCAAACCCATAGGCGCGAATGAAAATAAGAATTCTTACTGTCCCTAAATTTTTTACCACGAGTATTTTATCGGTCGCGTTAAACGAATGTTACATTCGCTACCTAGGTTACCTCCAAGTTACGCGAACGTTTCACCTTCTCAGCTGGTTACTGCAAAGTTACATTTCTCGTGTTACATAATAGTTATTAGAGCGTTCTCGGTTACCGCAACATCTTAAGTTTACAGCGACGTTTTAAGCGCGATTCATTTGTCTTGAGTTTACAGGAAAGTTACAGACCCGGTAATAGCCCCCTCGATTACACGGCCTGTACAATCGGTTATTACTCGAACGGGCCGCGTCCACGGGTCTCATTTGAAATAAAGGGGGTGGGACCGTGATCTGTTGTCAAGAGCGCTGCATACGTCGTCGTACGCATATTTTTTCCCCTGTTTACAGGCCTTGTGGTTGGAAATAAGTGATGCCAGGATGGGTATGCTCCGATCCAGAACTGAGTCGTCGCAGTCTCGGCGCGGGAGGAAGCTCTCTCGAGTAGTGAGGCGAAGATGCTACATATGGATTTTTCTGCTCTCTATTATGTTCCTGGTCTATGTCTCGCTTGTCGGTCCGGCTACATTGCACGGTGAGTTCTTAATTTCTTTTGTCCCATACTTCATCATTCTGGAAATGCTGCGTTATTTGACTCGGTTTCTATGTTTTGTTTTTGCTGCATCGAAATTAACTAATTTGATCATAATTTGTTAGCGAATTTCTTTTTATGATTATTGATCTGACAGATGTGAAGCTGTTATTTTTTTGGACCAGCAAAGAGAGGTGACTGTATCATTATCTTATCCATTTAATGAAAATATTACTGTTGGATACGAAGTTGTTAGGTGGAGTCTTCTTAAGCTGACGCAAAGTTTGATTGGACCAAATTAAGATTATGTTAGAGAAATCCGTCATGTGAAAATTCTCTTTGGTGTTGCCCTTGGATTTTCTAGGAAGATCATATGCAAAGTGCAAGAGCAATACCTAGAAATGAGCTCGCTAAATAGAGCATGTACGCTAGGTCTAAAGAGATAAGGAAAATAACATGTTTAGTGAATCAAAAGATGTTGTTTATAAAGTCTAGTAGTTGTACATGGTTTATTATGAGCTATCTTAGGTATCAAGTTCTTTTTGTGAGCTGTAGAGCTTGATTTAGGTTGTCCTTTTGGAATGTGATGCCAAACTGGACACTTCTTGGGGACCTTGCTTGATGTCATTCATGATTCTTTGGCACTTTTTACAAGTACATACTTTCCTTCGGTTTGATTTGGATTCCATGCTAGGGGAATAGTACTCCTTGTAATCTTCAAATTTTCTGTACCTCATAGAAGTGGAAACTAACTTGTCTAGTTTTTGCATATTATGGAGCTAAGAGAGACCTATGAACTTGTAGTTATATTTAAGATTTGTTCGGTTGAAAAATGAGAATACAATGAGGCGTGAAGTGAACCTTCACGAGTAAATAAGACAAATTTGCCTAGGGAAATCATAGCTTGCTAGTACGTTGTATTGATTATAGTGGCTGGGTTAGAGTGGATGTACATTCAATTAAGAGTATGTTTGGGGTGTTGTAACTTTTTGTTAAGTGGTTTTAAGATTGTTATGGTGAAATCAGCTTTTTTGAAAGCTATTATGGATTATAACTTCTTTTTGAAAAAGTCAGATTTTGGCTTTCTACAACTATCACATTTTAATGGATTTGTTTGTAAAATGCAGTTTTTCGCTACAAATATTTTGAAAAAGCAATAAGAATGCAATAGCTAAATGGAGACGTGGGAGTGGTTTGGAAAGCAAAGCAATGACAAAACCGCCCCAAATAGACCCTTACTGTTGAATTTTTTCTTTTGATTCACAAATCCCTATTTATTCTTGGATCCTCTAATAATCGTACTTCTCGAGTTCATTGCTTCTCTATACAACTTGTATGCTTCATATGGATTATCACATTTTTCTGAATAAGAATAGATGAATTCATAACCTTCACATTGCCACATGGTCCGCTTACTGGAAGTTTTGAATTGTTGTCGAGAGCTTTAAGGATGCAATCAATATCATAAATATTTCTTTTTATAATTTCATAGATTTTCCTTCTGTCAGGACCAATTTGACTGGATATTCATTAACTTATTAACTTGCCCTCTTGTTTCCTCATCAAATCTTTAACTAAATGTTTTAATAAATTCTAATTAGAAAGAGAAAATGTTTGAATGCGTGATGTACTATATCAATGGATTACATTTGATGGATCTCATGCTTTTTATGATGCAGAGGAAAAGGAACCCCCCCAAGTACCAGGTTTTCATTCCTCTGGCAAGCATTCTCATGGTGGAAACGATACTGGCACTGCAGCAAACACTACCTGGCATCAAACTAGAATTCAATTTGTGAATATTTCTAAAGTGAAATCTCACAAGAGGCGTAAGAATCTAAAACTTCCCCGCCTTAACTTACCATTTTGAAAGTTCAATTATTTCATGTTTAAAAACACTATGTTTCGTGTGTCAAATCTGAAAATTTCTCAGTCCTATTGATTTAATGAGTATCATTATTTTGTAAGAGAAGCACTCTTATTGCATGCTGATTCACAAATATTAGAATCATGTATGGCTACTAGAGAACATTCAAAATGTAACTTTGTGACAACAACCTGCATTGTTATGTAAGTTTAGACATGGCATTATTGTTATTTATAAAACAAAATGATCATATAGCCATGGCCCTAGGTTGGCTGACCATGGGCAAGGTCCGTGGATTGGGTTAAATACATCACACTACACTTGGATTTGTTTTTCAAGCCTTTCAATTCAACATACACGAGTTAAACATGGGAAAATAAAACGATTCCAAACAAGCACAAGTGCACACAATGATATATGTAAAAATAGATACGTGAGCATTAAAGTTTTCAACATAATGACTAATAGATCAAGTCAACTATCATAGCATGTATCGTTTAGGCGCATAACACCATTATAATTACAATTATAAATTGTAGGCAACTAAAGCAAGTAAATAAAACGTGCAAGGGTATGCAAACTAATTTTTATGTGTTTTGATGCTACGTGCTTTCACATTCCTCTCAAGCAACTCTCTTCATGCAATTCTGCTTCTCCTACAAAGCCAATGAGTAGAACTACTCCTTTCTATATATAAGGACAAAGAAGCTTTAGTGCAATTCTCACTCTTCTTCAAACTCAATGAGTAGCAGTACTCCCTTAAAGGCTCGAGGACGAGGAGAAAATACTCTATTTTCCTTATAGGCTAGGGTGACCCCAATCCTTAAATTTTTGCCAGGGAACCGTTCCAAAACATCTCTAGGTTTTGGCGGATGTACCAAAAAGGTGTATTGTCAAAAATACATTCAATCTTAACTATAAATGTTGTTGGGGATGTAGAAAAGCAAGAGAAGGTTAAAAAGTAAAACTTAAATTTAAAAAGCATTGGATCTTAATTGTCCAAGTATACTCCATTTGAGCACATAAAAGCTCTCAGAGAATAGAAATACTTGAGCAGACATTTCTCTTTTCAACAATCGTAGTTGAGCCGAAGGAAGAGGAATTTATATAGAAGAGATGGTTAAGTAAGCTAGTTCAAGGCAAACTCATTAAAATCCCCAAAAATCTCTAATAGAGAGGAGAAAAACAGAGAGGAAATAATGAGAGAGAGAGAGAGAGAGAGAGAGAGAGAGAGAATGAAAAGAACAAGTTGTGGTTCTAAAAGAGGCGATTTCAAATTTTTTTGAATTATTTTTCTTATAATAGTCCACCTATCTATATCTTTAGCTTAGAATAATCGCTAAAATCCACCTTGAAGTGTGAGAGTTTTGACAGGTATATTCACTTGTATCTCCCATTTTTGGTGTAAGAAAGTAGTTTAAACATGCTTAGATGTTACCCTTATAATAGGGGGGTCAATTCAATTTAGAGGGCTAAATTTGGGTTTTGACTTGAATATTGTCTGACCTGAATGTGCATGACCCGAACTTGGCCCGTTTATTAAACAGTAAAAAAATCTTACACAAGCTTGATCCGCCTTCAATTCGATAAACTGTGTAACTTTTTTAACCTAAAGCCTAATAGTCATTGGAGTTAATTCTAGGTTAGCAGGTCAAACCAAAGTCGACCCAAAAAAAATTAAATAGGTCAAGATTCTAGACTCGAACCAGATTAGAAAGTTAATTGGGTCAACCTGAGCTCATACTTTTTTGAGCCAAGTTTGGATGAAGTTGTTGTTTTGAGTTAATTTTTGACATCACTACCTAAAGCACTTCTCATATCCGTGTTGCCATACATTTTAGCATTTTTTGGGGGCTTAAATTGAAATGCTATTTTGCATTGTGGGTGTTTTGCAAAAACATTTCTAAAATCTCGAAAAGCTCCAACTAGACAAGGACTAATAATTAAAATGTAATACTTCGCCAAGTTAAACATGAAGCAAAATGCTATTTGTCATCTTTGAAGCATTGCCTATGCAAATCAAATTTAGAAGAGTTTATGAGACGTCTTAGAAGTTTGATTAAAGCTTCCTCTAGCTCTTCCAAACCATAAAAAAATAAGGGTGTAAGAATTTTGCAAGTGAATTGTGTTGGATAGGCAACAACTTGAAGCAACAAATGGAGATTAAAATTATATGATTGGTCAAACATGTTACTAGTCATGTTGACCTCTAGGGGTGTAAACGAGCCAAACTTGAGCGAGCGTAAGGCTTGTTTGTGTTCAACTTGTTCAAATTTCTATTATTTATGTTCGGCTCTGTGAGCTTCGAAAATTCGAAAAGCTCCTCAGACTCTTGTTGGGAGCTTAATACGGGTGTTTGTTAAGTTTTCGGGTCAAATTTTCAGAAGGCAGATTAGATAGTAGATAAGGCATTACTAAGAGATTTCACCTTCAATTTGCGAGGACTTTAAGATCTAGGGTTCGAGGTTTCCCATAGGGGCTTGCCCCTATGGATAATTATCCATCACGATATCAAGAGAGCAATTTCTTTTAAGGTTAGTCATTAGACTCTAAACATTCAAACTAAGCATATACTAACAACAAATATGAAATCTTAAATTATAAAAATTATCATCAACGTGAGCTTAAAGCAGATGGTGGGGAAAATGATATCGAACCCGATCAAGATCCAATGGTTCCATCATCCTGGGTCGTCGTGGTCCCCGATCTACTTAGTCAGATGAGGTATTTGACCCAACCTGACAGAAAGATTCTTGTCAGCAGCCATGTGTTGCGTCGTCCAAGATCTTGTAAACCTGGGGTGAATGTTTGTCTTAAGGAGACTAAACTAAGTCGACCTTAGCTTACCGAGGATTTTCTATCTCATCGAATATACCCTATGATTAAATACTCAAAAGAGCATATAATCATTGGGGAACATACTGGCTACAACCTTGACCATCATTGACCATAATATAATGGTGTTATTCGGCGACAACACACCTGGTCAGATGGCTCTAGTCGTAACCATTTCTATATGGTGTCATTTGGCGGCAAAACCACACGGACAGAGGACTCAGACCATGTCCATATTGGCAAAATGCTTTTTGAGCATAAATTTAGTAGCATACTTGAGATGACATTGACTATTTATGAGCTCGAGTCAGCACTAGATTTGTCTACCTCGACAAACTGTTGCGGATGGTGGATGAAATTTTACTTTAAATATTAAGTGACATAAATTTTTTTTAAATATTATTATTTTTTTATGATTTAAAAGATATTTTTTACTTTTATAAATAGACACCTCCGGCTGAAATATACAATCAACACTGCTAATATCGGGTAAGGTTGTCTTTGAACCATGTTAACTCTGCCTCACTTACAGAGGATCGAATTCAATAATTGAATTTGAAATAGATTTTGAGACAATTATTAAATAGACCTCTCTGGTTGAAATACTATGTCAACTCGGCCATCATCGGGGAAAGATTGTAATTTATATATCATTAAGAGCACTAGTCCTGTCAACTCCAGTCCTCATGAAGAGGAAGATCAGATTTGCTCAGCGGGGACTCAATTTTGTTGACTCTGGTTGATGCAAGGAGTAGGATCAGATTTGCCTATGTGTAGGACTTACGACCTTGCCCTGTAGGCAAGGCGACCCATTGCCCGTGCATAAGTCTCAGACGCATAAGCTTGAATATTTGGAGGCACTTCGGAGCATATGCAGACATTTTATATTATTGTTTGCATAGATTTTTAAGTAGCTTTGCACGTATTTCAAGACAAAATAGTTTCAGCTTAAGCATTTGTTTAACCTGCACATCATTCTCAGATCTTGTGATCGAACATTCAACACGTTGGTTGGAGCACATGCGAGAATTTAAGATTGTTGGTTTGAATAGATTTTTAAACAACACAACATGTATTTCGAGGCATATTGATTTGGGCTTAGGCAATTATTTAACCCGCATAGTATTCTCGGACCTTGAGATTAAGCAATTAGCATGTTGGTTGGAGTACATGCTGGAATTTCATATTTGTCAATTTTGACAAATTTTTATGGGATTTTTAGGATTATTTGAGACAAGTCGGAGCACTTGTGGGCCGGCTGGGTTGCATTCGGCCTATCCATCTAGACCGACACATGCTTGTGTGTAACACTACTCCTTTCCCAAAGAAGTACCTTGTCCTCGTTTTTGGTAATTGCTTGTGGATCACCTCGTAAGGCTCCCATGTTGCTTCATAGTTCGACAATTCTTTTCACTTATTTAACACTTCATTTGCTCCTCCTACTCCTTGGCGCACTTTTTCGATCTCCAACTGTTCCAGAATCACTTCCAAGTACTCTGCAGTGTCGACGGTAATGTAGACGAGGTTGTATGATTTCCAATCACATGTCTCAGCTGTGATGCATGGAAGACTGGGTGTATTAAGGAGGAATGTGATAACTTCAAATGATAGGACATTGCCCCGATGCGTGTCATCACCTCATAAGGCCCAAATTATTGCGGTGACAGCTTCTTGCTTCTCCTCCTAACCTATGCCTTTTGTCGGTATGGCTTCAATTTTAAGCAGACCATATTTCTTGGTTCAAATGGCACCTCTTTCTCTTTCTTATGTCTGCATGCCTTCCTCTTCATGATTTGTTGATCTCTTAATAAATGACCATTGAGCTCTGCTAGTATCCCGTTCCTCTCCTCCAGGTACTAATCGATGTTGGATAATGGTGTGGTACTATGCCCATAATGTATCAAGTGGGATGGATCTCGCTCATACAATATCTTGAAAGGGATTGTCTGTGTTGCGCCATGGTATGAAGTATTATACCAATATTCGGTCTATGCAATTCATTTAGCCCATAACTTCGGTTTATTGGTACAAAACAATGCATGCATGTCTCCACACTACTGTTGATCACCTTCGTCTGCCCATTAGTCCGGGGGGTGATATGCGGTGCTTCTTTTAAGGACTGTCCCT